CTACTTTCGTTTTTGACGGCAAATTTTCTACATACGAACGGCGGTACTCAGTTATAATTAAAAAAATCAACATAGGCTACTAATGATGTATATGAAATTTTAGACATAATTTTGATTGAAAGACATTAAATATCTTGCTTATAATCTTTTGTAAGTAGTAATAGGCATCTAGGAAAGTCGTATCATTAGTAGTGGACATGTCCCCTGTAATAGGCTGTATATATAATAATTTCAGAATTAAATTGAGAATAAAATTTTTAAAGGGTGTGTAAATTTTGATAAAATTGTTCTTCAAAAGAATATTTCACTTTATAGCTGATTTATGAATATCTTTGTGGACATAAAAGGCTTGAGCTATTGAACTGCGATGGGGGTACCTGTATGTTTTACCCCATATCTCGGTGAAAAGACAGATGACCAATACATTTATCATGCCTAAAAGATACTTCAAGCATCGGTTGCTATAAATAAAGACAAAAAAATCAGGGTAAACAAATTAATTATTCTAATAGAGAGCTTTATTTGAGTTTTGAGCTTTGTTACTTCATTAGTAAAATGAGATTAATTCTTCAATATTTTCTTAGTTTTAACCAGTAATGTGTACCATAGCCTGAAATTATTCATTATTATCCTTATCCTTGTGATTTATGTTCAAAAAAATTTATTTGCCATGTGCAATGACATAAAATGTAGACTGTCTTTATAACAGTCGGGATTTTGTTTTTGTTACAAGAGGGTGCATGAGTGTTTGACACCCTATCTCAATACAAATATAGATTATTCTATTTTTTGTGCTTTTGCAGGGATTTATCTAGCTATTTTGTTTTACTACCGTTTTATATGTAAAGGGGAAAAATGAGAGCCGCAGGCTCGATCTGAGCACCGGAGGCGCGAGTATTCTAGGGAGGTCCGGGGGCATGCCCCCCGGAAAATTTTTAAATAAATGGAGCAAAAGCCTGCATTCTTAGAGCTTCTGAGGGTCATTTGTAGACCTTTACAAAGGCCACAAAAACTTCACTTTTGAGACAATATATTAAATAACAGGGAAAAAAAATTTAAACTTGGTCAGTACTTTATTTAATTTTTTCTCTCAATATATTTCACAAATCAATTCCGTTTTTCATGTTTCACTACTAACATTGTATTTGTTGTTACTCCATTCTTCCGATTCATAGTGATTTAAGCTCCATCTTACTCATCTACACTTTTCTTAACTCTGCAATCGCATACGTAATTTTGACATCATGGACATGGCACGTTTACCGATTCAATATCAAATAGAAGCTTGAATAATCTACTCTCTCTTTTAAAAGCGTTTGAATGACTAGGATGGTGAATTAGGATATGCTGTTAAACTTCAATCGGACAAAAACGGAAAATCTCAGTACGATGTTTTAACTATTCTCTGTTTCATCGGAGAATTTTCTATCTGAAAAAGGGGAATTTTTCAACTTTTTCAAGAGGGGAAAGGTACCGTTTACCGGTAGTAAAAACAGCCCTGATAAATCCCTGTTTTGAAGTAGTTAAAGTATCTCTTAATGTAAATCAGGACAAAAATTGCACTGTTAACCAGTTATTTTTACGAGTAGGGACCTACCTTAATCAATTTTTTTGCCCATTACATGTATCACATCAGGGGTCTAGAATTATGCTTTCCCATTGCCCGGGGTGAGTAAAAATCTGTAAGGGGAAGTATACAATTGCGGGTCATGCTCACCCGCTCGGGAAAGTAAAAATTAAAGACAGTAGACACCAATGCTGTTGAGAGTTGTTCTTTTTCACGAGTTTTGATTGAAAATTGAATTAATTTACTTAGCCAGTAAGTTATGTGAAGCCGTATGAAGCGTTTCCCGTCAAATAAATTGTACATTATCACTACCGGAAATGCTTGCTTGCTGTTTAAATGAAAAACCTAACACGGTACTCTTTCGATTTCCCGGAATAAATACGAATGTGATTTGAGGGCTATATCCATGATGACTTTTGAAATTTAAATGATTAATGTCAGAATTTATGTAATAAATGTATCCACTGAAACAATAATTTTGACTAAAAAAATTAATAAAATTCAATACAGCATACAGGGTATTAATATATCTAAATCAAAAATACAATGCAATATAGCATATTAATATATATAGTATACTATATCAGAGACATAAATAGCATAAATATTTTAACTGGGGGAGAGGGGATTCACATATTTGAGCCATGGGAAAAATGTAAGCCTGGAAATAGATGTTTAAACATAAAAATCTTAAAATTTGTGATTGTTTAATGTTTTTGTTAGGCAAATGAATTTTTAAGGTGGGCAAGTGAAATTTTAATTTATTTTATCACTTGCCCTTGGGCAAGCGAGTTATAAAAAAATTCTAGACCCCTGCACATGCACCATACAAAACACTGAAATATAGTGTCAGATCTACCGTAATTTGCGGAATATAGGTCGATACTTTTTTCTCAGAACTGCTGGGGTTGCCCAATATACAGAATTCGACCTGTTTAAGGCTCGACTGTACGAAAAATGCCCCCGAATCAGTAAAATTTACTTCAATTTCAAAGCAAATTTGTGCAACTTTCGTAATTTTTTTGATTATTTTACGCAAAAAAATTAATGCTCCTGTAAACAATAAAGTATTTATTCTATAGCTTTCTTACAAAATAAATTCCATGAAATATTTGTTGATGTCAAAGGAAAAAAGAAACATTGCTTTATCTATAAATAATTTCTCAACATATTATCCATTAACATCATGCGGTAGCCATCTTGTGAAGTTAGGAAGTCGCGAATCGTGTACTAAGAGTAAAACCGCAACCATATCAAAATTTTAAATACGGATAATTTTTCACGATCACAACTGAACTTCAGTTACTGAAGTGTTTTTACCATTTATTAGTAGCAATAAATTGAAATAGTATATTAAATATTTTTTTTATTGTGACAGTCTTATATTTATTTAAATGTAAAATGAGTGAAATAAACTGTTGCCAGTCAAAGGTTGTTTGCGTGTTTTAGCAAATCCCTGGAGAAGAAAAATAAAAATGGCAGACATCGAAGTAATTGTCGTCCACCGGTAAATAATGTCTGAATAAAATATACTAGATCTAGGAATGTGTCCAAGTTGTTCTGAAATCGGAATTATTATTCTTTGATCTCAGGTATTTCCCAAATTATAGCTGTAAAATAATAACGTATTTATGTGCTATTTATGCCCCCAGTTTAACAACAGTGTGAAACTACGGAGGCATTGAACAGGCAAGTTGGAGAAAAACAAGTAGAAAACAATTCAAAGAAGTTATAACTACATTTACATAAAACTTTATTTAAATGCTGTGCTCATTAAAATACCAGTTTATTTTCTTGATACGTTCATGTCACGGAATTACCTCTGTAATTTTAGAGGTTTACCTGTTCTGATACGTTGTATCTGCGTAAGAATCTTTAGAAAATAGAGAAACAAAGCCTCGTCCTATATAGTAAGTTCGTCCTATCTAGGGATTTTTCAAAAAATAAGGCTAAAAATGAGCCTTTCGACCTATATACCCCATCGACCTGTAATCCAAAAATTAAGGTATGTTAAATTAGGTTTTTTTTGTTGATGGTAGATACTTTTTTTAAAAGTCAGAAAATATATATACTGTTTACTGAGATTTTTATCAAAAATTTAAAATTTATCTTCAATTAAAAAAAAATAATAATTTCCCTCCCTCCCTCCTGTGTCTGAAACCCTTCAGACGGCAATTCCAAACAAACAATTCTTTAAGGAAGGCCTCGACAAAAAACATCATTACCTGTTCGTGGGAGTTCGTTCGCGCAGAGTCCATTCACCCGAAATATTATTCGCCCAATATCTTGTTCACCCTATATGTGGTTCTCCCAGTACTTATATATAGTTGCAAACACTAAGTCATTCTAAAAACATTAGAATCAAATCAAAAATTAATTAAGAGTAAATAAACATTGCTCCTCATATCAGAATTTGAGAAAAAATATCCCAAGTTAGTAAAGGAAATAAATGACAAAAAATGATATATGTTATTTTTTTTTATTTCATATGAGTTTATATACCAATATAGTTAATTAGATGATTAACATCAATATTAATTAGGGGGATATATCCGTGTTATTTTTACAAATTAATGCGCTATGTTTTGAAAACAATTAAAGGACTGAGACGTTAATAGGTCCATTATAGAAGTGAACAGATAATGTTGAAGGTTTTACTTTTGAAGAATATCCCTTTGATCTCAAAAAATGATTTATAAGAAGACGGTCTGTCAGGTCTTTGATAGGTCATGTATTTAGTGTGACCATTTGTGACAATATGCATAATGTCTGACAGTCTGTTTTATTTCGATCGAATGTACCAAAAATTTGGAAAGAAATTCATTAGACTTTATTCTAAATTAAATTAGGGCTGGCACGATACAAATTTTTCTATATCGATACGCATCACGATATTTGAGCCATGATACGATATGTATCACGGTATCTTTAATTGCTTACAAAATCTTTTTTTTTGAATTGAAATAAACAAATTTCTTTGCAAATGAGAATAATTTATTCAAAATAGTTGTTAATATCTTGAAAAACAAAAATATTTTACTCCAGTTGTGTTAATTATTATTTACTTCACTTCTATATTTATATTTAACTTATTTATTTTATGTATTAAACCCCAAATATTAAATAAACAAAGAAAAACAGAAGTAAGATTTTTCTGGGGCAATATTTTGATATTTTTTCAAATGTATCGATATATATATATCGCCCTCGCATATATCACGATATATCAATATTTCGTCCCACCCCTACATTAAATGAGGGAGAACGGACCCTATGCGAACAAGTTTTAGGGCGAGCGGACTCTGGGCGAACGGGAAAACAGGCCAACGGGAAATCGGGCAAATGAACATGGAACCCGCTCACGCCAACAGTCCCACCCTTAACAAATAATTTTTGCTGTTCTTATTTTGAAATCATGATTGAAGCAAAATACCTCATCAAAATCTCCTCTGACAACATGAACATCACTTGCAAGGGTTTTCAAGTAGTCAAAAGTCTCTTTTGTGCATAGGTTTCCTGTGCATAATATATGCTGAATTTTTCCGGGTACAAGCAACTTCTTAAACTTGGCCGGAAGGCTGTTACAGCGATGAGGAATATGAAGATCACCAAGTACTAAGACCAGCTGAAAGAAATATACATGACATTTTCACAAATAACACTTGCTATATACACTATTTTGAAGGTTCAACTCAGTCTCATGTCTTGTGACACCCCCTTTTTCTTTCGTTTTGATCTTCGATAACATAACCCAAAATCTCGTCGAAAAAATAAATTGTGTCTGTTAAAAAGGTTTTCTTGTGTATTTTTAAACGCTAAATAATCATTTCAAAGAGAAAAAAAATATGCAATTTACATATATATTATGGAAAAAACCGTACCATCTTTACTGGATAACTTCGTCAATTCGGGGGAAGTCTAATTGCCGGAAAAGTCCTGCTAAGAGCTGGCGGTAAATCTAGAGTGTGACTAAAATGGGTACCGAAACCCGGGCCGGGCCGGGAATTTTGAAACTGAAAACCGGGATTTTGATAATTACGAAATAAATACTCATTCTTTCTTCATGGAATTTACAGACATAGTTTATAACTATAAGTTTTGCCTTCGCTGAGAATTTTAACTCAAAATGTTGTGTTTTTCAATTATTATCGCCGATTGTCCTTTTCCAGGTGACTAAAATGGGTAGCGAGCCCGGTTTACTAATTTCGGCGATTTTAAGCTTAATGCATTGAAAATGTATGTGATATTTGCATTTATTGGTTGTTTATTACTTCAAATAGCTAAATTATTCAATCATTATGAAATTAAATGTCGATTATAAGGGTTTTTGTCATTTTTTGTAAACCCGGGACAGGTAAAAACCGGACGCCTTTGCCCGGGACAAACTTAATAATTCCGGTTTGCCAGAGAAAGAATGTAGATTTTTTCAGTCCTTGACCGATACATCTTAGAAATAAATTGGAAAAAAATTAATAAAAATATTTCCACTCTTTCTACTTGCGAGACTCCCCAAACAGTAACGTCTCTTCGCTCATTCATTGGTGCTTATAAGGTCTTATCACGTGTTATCCAGGATACATCACAGCTCCTCGCACCACTCGATGACAATATAGTAGCTGGCCGTAATCCCAAGGACAGAATTGTGTGGACCGATGATCTGCTGTCAGCCTTCCATAGAGCACAAGAGGCTATAACTACACATAAATCTATAACCCTTCCACGCCCGAGTGATGAACTGTGGATTGTTACAGATCACCGGTAGTAAAAATATGGATAATGATTTAAATCAAGTGTGAACCGAGGCACTCCCTCAAACCCAAGATGGTGAGTGGCGCTCCTTTATCATGTTTACTCTTTTTATATCAAAACAGTAAATATGACATTTGTAAAACTTGCTAATTTCAGCGATTTTTTAATTTTTTTTATTTTTATTTTAATGAGGGTATTTAGACACACTAGAAAAACACATAATACACAAAATACTCCATCCTGAAACCAAGCGCCTCGCTCAATACGGATTTCATTTCACACCCTGTAAAATAACTGACAGTAACCCTGTGGGTATTCAATTAGGCAGGCCGTTGCAAACATTGATAAAAATCTTTCGTTTTTTATGTCTTGATGTGGAAATATAACGTTAAATACCTTTCTATTGCAAGTTTACGTGCACTAAATCTAATTCTACAAAATGATTAAAAAAAAACCGAGAGAATCGGGAGTCGGAAGTACTAGTTTTACCGTTGAGAAAAATAGAGAATTACAATGGCTGCCGACTGGCTGAATCCCAGCTTGTGCTTGAATGAAAGAGAGAAACAAACCGATGATAAAGAAGAGTTATTCGTGTTCGGATATGCATGTAAACTCTTTAAGGATGACAAGAGGGCATTATCTATCGACCAGGGATCTCATCTTATTCCTTGGATGGGCGACGAAAAACTACAAATAGACAGGTCGGTCTTCAATTCCTGGGAAAATTATCAAGGTTTCGATTTCACTCGCATTATCGCGTATTTATTGTGTAATCATAAAGCAGTTGCCTTTCAGATGATAGAGAATGTTTGAACAGGGTTAACATGTATGTATACCCCATCACTGCCCTAATCCGAGATTCCTCTGACTCTAACCCCTGCTTTTATATTGTGACTTGTGCAGGGGAGAGTCAGAGCGGACTCCATATTGAAAACTGGGAATCTGGCGAAACCACCTGGTATCGCTACTCTGCCTACCTTTTACAACTTTATTTCGCGGAGCTAACTCCCGAGACGCGAGAAATCAGTAAAACAATTATTCACCTACTTGTTAATCGTCATAAATATTATGCCTTCGCCGTTTAAACAACCCTATCACCGAAAAATGAAGCATCACTTGAATTTGGTCGCCTCCTCGACATTCGACTTCTTTGCGCATGACGTCACACACAAATACACAAACAAACTATCACGTGAAAATATCATGTTTGGTGTTTTAAACCTCATATTAGGATAAAAGTCGTTTTTGACAGTTGCTTTCCTTATCAATCAATAAATAAAACATCATTATGTTATTTTATATGTATTTTCACAACACTTTCATATTTTTCCGAAAGCCCCACACGTGGTTTGAGCACGTGTTACTTTCAAACTGACTGGAATTTTGTGTATTTGTGTGCTGACGTCATGCGCAAAGCAGTCGAATGGCGAGGAGGCGACCTAGTTCAAGTGATGCTTCATTTGTCGGTGATAGGGCTGTTTAAACGGTGGAAGCATCCTTTTAATGACAATTAACAAGTAGGAAAATAATTATTTTACTGATTTCTCGCGTCTCGGGAGTTAGCTCCGCGAAATAAAGTTGTAAAAGGTAGGCAGAGCAGCGATACCAGGTGGTTTCGTCAGATTCCCAGTTTTCAATATGGAGTCCGCTCTGACTCTCCCCCGCACAAGTCAAAATATAAAAGCGGGGGTTAGAGTCAGAGGAATCTCGGATTATCACTGCCCATGATTAAAGCGGTCCTACTAAACAGAGAACAATTGAGAACTCTAGAGAACCCTTGAGAACTTGAGGTTAATTGGCGAATTCTAAAACCTTTCATGCATTATTTTTACTGAATCAATCATATTCTATACATAAAGTCAATTAGAAAGTTATTTTATAGAAATCCCCCCCCCCCCCAACGTAACAAATTAGGCGGTGAAATATTTTATGACATCCCGATCCCAACTGAATTTCAAAAACGTTTTTTATCGAAATAATTTAACACTTAATTTTATTTTACAATTGTTTTTCACATTATTATGGCATCGAGCTCTAGAGCTGGAATGTCATATAGCTAGCTTCTGGATTGGGTTGCTCAAAACTCTGGTTAAGGTTAACCGCTGGTTAAATCTCGTATCCAGTGGTTAACTTTTAACCGTTGGTTAAATTCTGTTGCTCAAAATTTGTCCACTGGTTAACTTTGCTATCCAGTGGTTAAATATTGGCTAAAGTTAGCCACTCCACAGAGGTGGGTTAAGTCTCTTAACCAGTGGATAAATATGACTGAAAATTATTATTTGTTGTAAATTTTGGGGGATAACAAAAGAAACAAAGGCTTATAGATATTTTAATCAAGAATTTAATGTTGATGAATACTTAAAAAGACATATGCAGTAATTTAAAGTCAAGTTGGGCGACCATAATTTGATTTTTAGTTTTACGGATTTTTTTTCAAGAAAGGTCAAGTCGGAGGACGAAAAAAAAAAAAAAAAAAAAAAAAAGACAAAAATAATTCTAGCAACTACCTTTTTCACATATAAATATAGTCACACATTTCACTGTAGTATAAAACAAAACAATAAACAACTTAAAAGATATGTTTTTTTTTTACATTAATACACATTACTTGTATAAATGTTGTTATTTATAAAAATGACAACTTTTAATTCAAACATTGTTTAATATGAGTACCATGTAATATTTGAAATTACATGTATGTAAATTTAATTATGTTCTTCACTGTATAGTTTGCACATTCATTTGAATGTCATTTGAATAATATTCAGGGTAAATATCGAAGTTTAACTTGGCAATTAAACGATTTAATAATATTCTGCAGACGGTCTGAGTTTCCAGCTTTTAACTGATGGATGAATGGATTTTTCTCATTATAAGGAGCAAGACAACTGTTTCCTGGATTTAATAAAGATCTGAAATTGAAGGAATTGGAAGTACCTGTTAGCCAAACTTAAAACTTTAAACATTTTTAAAAATTACATGTGTAATCTATTGAGAATGAATTAGATGGATTCTTAGATCCTGCATTCTTTTTTTCACTCTTAGTACATATGATATCAAAGCATTATTGTAGTCCTGTTCCAATCTGCTAATATTATATTTTGAAATTCAGAAACTTTATTACCCTGTTTAGCTACATAAATTCAATTAAGTCTTCTACAGGTACTGTCAAGTTGCTCTGCAGTTTCATGGGCTTTTATATACTGGTGTTGATGTAGGATTTGCTAAGATACTGAATCTCATAATCCGCAGTTTCCCTCTGCAGACTCTTTATTAGTTACCATGTACTTGCTTTCATTTCCTCTTTAAATTAATAATAAAGTACTATAGTTTATGTCTTTCCTGATCACCGTATTATTTATGGAGGAATTGTTTTGTTTTAGGCGCATATAAACTTGTTTGCAGCAAAGTATCAAAAAAATTCATATCGCTATTTACCGTCCTTTTTTGCAAAATTTCCACATCTGGTATCTCTGTCTTTGATAAAAAAAAAAAACACTTTTTATGAGGATAATGAGCAATTAGAACTGCAATTACATTTGGTAGCACAGTTGACATCTTGATTATTACCTGTTATCAGTGGCAATAAGCAGATTAGCTACCGGTAAACACTGCATGACAGCCATTTTTGTTTTGACTTGTCGGTATTTTACAAATCGAAGAAGGTAAAAAATCCGGATTTTTTCGAAATCGGTAGAAACAGCAATAAAAAAAAATAAAGAGAGACATGCGATTGGGAGGTTTCAGAATTGGTAGACTCTCGATAAAACCAAAGTTGACAGCTCACCTTCTTCTACTATTCTGCACATGTGTTTTTTTACGTTTCTGACTGATTTGCTTTTGTAAAACACAGGTTTGACACGAGCGGATTGAAAAATTCCGATTTTATTTTTTTTTTGAAATGCAAATTTTTAGAGTCGGCGGATCCGTAAAACTAAAAATCAAATTATGGTCGCCTTGACATGGTTTTGTTGCAATATTAGGCAGGAATAACATCACAGTCAGGGATATGATAGGTTTTTATGTCTTCATCGTCAGCAGAAATGTTTTAAATGGGTTCTTTCAAGGATTAATCTGTTGGCATTACAAAGGATATTATCAGGCGGCCTTCCCTTGCTGAAAAATAAATAATTATTATAGGTATATTTTAAGTAAAAATTATAAATGAATAAAATTGTTGGTCATTTGCATATAGGTCTAATAATGGATAAAGATCAATTGTTCTTTGGTTACCATACATCAATATTTAAAATCAATTGAGAATTGCAAAGATAGACTTTATGTAGGCATTGAAAATTGGGGTTACCTTGTTTTAATTTGTTGGTTTAGCCCCTCCCTCCTCCACCCCCACCCACATTCAATTAGCTCAATTAGCTACTCTACTTTCACAATGCTTCCGATGCATATGCTATCAATATCTACATAAAGATTTTTATCTAATTTCTACATGTATTGATGCTAATATTAAAAGGTGTTGTATTTATAAAATACACTTGGGATAATGTGTAGCGCCGTCGAGCGGTAAACGGCACACAATATTTTAATCCAGTGGAATTAAGTTAATAATTAATCCATGCTTCCTCAATAAAGTGTTGCTCCAGTGAAAGCACCTGGTTATCGTTTTACAATTTATTTACATGATCTCAAATTTTAATAGTCCAACAGAATGCACAAAATGAAATATCCTCGAACAGCACTGACCAAATTAAATAAACTCTATCTCTACATCTGTATCTATTATACTTCTCCTATGCATCTACTGTTCTATTCTACCCAGAAACTTTTACTCCCCTATATATATAAAAAGTAGGTTGCTCACGAAGAGCAACGCTCTTAACTGGGTCAGTTACATAAGTTACACAGCGGCTGCTCACAAGGAGCAACGGGTATCTGTACTATAAATAAACATAATATAACTGAGGGGTTCTAAATGAAATAATTAAGACTAATTACAAATAATTAAAATAATATAAAAGTAAATCACGAATTTACAAATGCATTTTAGTTACACTGCAAAATTTAATTGTACGGAGCGAAATGCATTAGTGACGAACTCGCTATATCTACTTGCATATTCGACGAAGACCTTTCTGTACTAATTAAAAAAAATGCTACCCACTTTCAGACAGTGTTAGTGCTTTGTAATGCAGGATTATATAAATGTGATGAAAGTTATTTCTTGTTTGGAAATATTTGACAAACCACTGGACAGATCTTTCTGTCAAGGTATGTATAAAAGCGATAATACAACAAGTGCGAATTTCCTCGAATAATAGCAGACGACGTTTACATGGTGTAAACAGTAAAGGTGTCCTGACACCAATCAGTTATTATTTAGGTATGAAACGATACAAATTGATGTATTTGCCTCGTAATTATAGCTGTCTTGAGTAGGTATTCTCTTTAAAATATTTTCTGTAAAACTAAGATCTAATGTTCAGCTTAACGAGCATCTAGGTGTCTGCAGTCATTCTATCCATCTGACCTGTGGTGCTAATCCTTTCCTATTCTATGTGTTTACAGTTACTGCATCCTCCACTTGAATTTTCAGCAAAGAATAATCCCAGCTGACTTGTGTGTTCCTTACTTTTTGCGACTAAAGCGTTTGTTTAGTTTTGATACTGTTACATGTCGATATTTCTCCACTTCTCCACATACGGTTGTATTATATAATGTAACGTTAAAACGTCTCACTATTTACTTATTTGATATTTACCATGGTAGCCATTGTTTTTGGTTGACAACTGGACAAGTGTAATGCATTGTGGGATACTAACCAGTGGTTAAATCACTTAACCTGTGGTTAGTTAACCAGAGGCTAATTTTATTTTGAGCAACAAATATTTGACCAGTGGTTACTTACCCAGTGGATACAGAATTTAACCAACGGCTAACTTATCCAGTGGTCAAATTTAACCAGTGATTTGAGCAACTCAATCCTGATTTTCTTGCATCCTAACCAATTTATGATTATTGAACAATATTTGACGGGCGTATCATGCTGTGGCGGGGCACTTTATTCACCAAACTTACACACAAGGATCAGGATATGTTGAAGATTAAAATTTGCACGGGGAATTACCCTGGGGCAAAGGGCGTGGTCTCAAGGTCACTTCAAGGCTGACCTAAATTTACAATTGATAAAAACATGTATATTTTGCTTACTATAAGGACTAGGATCATC